CCCGTGCACGTTTCGATCAAGCAGTGCCTGCCAGCAGCGAGTGCACATTCCTAGATTAAATTAAAATGGCGGTATTTCTTTCATTTGGGATACGTTTAGAATATTTCGATTAGCTTGTTCAAATTTACTGCAGTCACCACTAATCTACGCATTAAAGCGGAAAACAGATGTGTAACTAATTTTAAATAGCCATGAATTTGGGATTTGGGAGCAAGTTTCTGACTGACATTGCCAATAATCAATGTTAATACATAAAGCAACAAAAGAAAACGAAATGAACAACAAACTGCATCATCGGCATGATGTAAACAATTCAATACAGCTATTTTCTACGGTTAATATTCTCTTGGTTTGTTTTCCAGTACGACGCGCGGATTTTAAGTGATCAGATCGCTGAACGAATCCCATGACATAGCAGCCAAAAGCTGCGACTTACAGGTGACCAATAACTATACAGTACTCCATCGATAGCATTAGTCATAAAGCTGTTATGTGGTTCCATGATGATTGCCTTTCACTCTGCAGCCCTGGCGCGGAACCTCTTACAAAGTCGCAGTGCTTTCCATGCATTTGAGGGTTCTACTGGAGCGATTGCAGTTGTACAGTGTGTGTGTTGTAATGCTAATCTTTCCTCTCCTATTAATAATTTAATGGTTTGAACGGACTCTCACAACGGGTCTAGTCCCTTCTAACCACGCAGCGCAATTCCGGTGCAGGAAAACGTTTATGGCGTCCCGGCTTGGAAAAAAAACTAAAAGCACTGAGGGACAATAAATTGCTACGCCTTGCGGTCACGCCAAGTTGGCGGCACGGCATTCTATATTTCTGCTTATGTGTGGATATAGTGATGCATAAGTTGACGCCCAGTTCTTTGTGGATTTTATTTTGCCTCACACGGCCTTCCCACGGTTAATTGCACACCTCGCGAAGGAGATCATCCTACATCTTGACCACGCCTGCAGTTATACCGCTGCCCTGTGATTCAGGAGGGGTTGCATGTCAGTGATGTGAAACACCGAAAGACAACGAATTTGTCGCCCTTGACTATGGGGTAAATGTGAATTTAAAACGATTAATTTTATGTGAAAGGAATGCAAACACGGTAGCAAGCCGACTGCAACGAACGAGAGGTCAGCTGCAACTAAAATTCAAGTAATTCGTTGCACGAATAAATCTAGGCATCTACATAATAAGCAAAAGGTGCTAGGCCGAATGATCACATAAAAGTTAAATTTGTTGACAATTGTTTTATGTTGGATTATGGGAATTTTTTAAAGGGAAGCCGCCAAAGTGGCGTGAGCAGGGTATGTAATAACACCACTTATTTTGTGTAGCAGTTAACTGCCCACTTCCGCCACTTCCGCTTAGTTTTTACAAAAATGATAGTGAATTAGCTGCCGTAAAGTTTGGCCACATAACCCTGCTTGCCCGGTAAGTCGGTAACCACAAAATAATAGCAATTATTTAACGTTAATACTGTGAACGGGCTAAATGCCGGTATTCACGCATTCCGGAGTCAACAGTGTGACAACACGCACAGTTTTCGATTTTCTATCTTGTTAATCCTTTGCTTAAAATTTTTCAAAAATGGATTTTGGACGTACAGGATGGGAATACGCTGCCTCCATTGTTAATGTCGCACGACCATGGCTGGACTCGCTTTATTTTTTTGGAAATTTGGTTGCGGCCGTTATTGGTGTCCGGCGACAGAAACGTTATCACGACGCAGATGTCGAATCTGGTAATCGGATTTACAATCGAGTTGATAATATGGACACAACGCTTACCAGAATGGTGGCCGAATTAGATCGAGAGAAGAAAAGGTCATTTGACATGCACAGTTCGTTGACGACCAATGTTACCGACGCAATTCAAGAATCTGTGGCAAAACAGAGTGATACGAACAATCTACTGGAGCAGTCAATGTCACAACAGAAAGATACGGTCATCCCAATTTTTACCGAAATTCGGGATAGTTTGAAGGATTTCTGCAAGACGCAGAATAATGCGACGTAAGTTTTTGTTTTTGACAAAACTAAAAAACATCATTAGAAAAACCTTATTACATTTGTGCTAACCGTCACTCGGTGTAATAACTTACACATAACATAACGACCTTTTTGTAAAACATATTTGTGGTAACACGAACAAAATTTTTATGACATTGCTGCTGTTTAAGTTGCTGCTGTTTATTACATGCTGCTGCTGTTGCTGTTTATTACATTGATTTTTATTACATTATTTTCTTTGGTTATTATACTGTAGTAGCTCGATAAAACGCAATTTAGCGCGCGCATATACAAGCCCGACCGGAAAATTTAAGAAAAGTTCCCTGATACATGGCTCTTATTCGCAAAGACGAGCGGGCTAAAGTTCGCCGTTGCGCACTCGCAAAAAACTGTCTCATTGCTTTGTGATGTTCTGTAGGCAAGTAATTTGCCTACATTGGCTTGAATCTGTTGGTGCGCACAACATCCGATTAGAAAGTTATGGACAAGGTCAAACTGAAAAAAGTTAATTACGTGAACAGGTGCCCCAGAAGCCGCATTATGGGTGGATTTATTCAGATTTTGCGCTCTAAAGCAAATAATTATGAAGATTACATCATAAGTGATATCCAGCAAAGGTTATATCGTTTTTTTAATTTTGCGTTTCTTTTCATACATATTTCTATGTTTGAAATACGGTATGACATTAATATCATTTTATGTGGATTAACGAGGGTCAGGAAACATTTTATTAATACTGCACCTTATAATAAGTAAATTGCACTAGAGTGACAAACTGACCGGGTATAGGAGGGCCAAAAATTGTTCAACAATGTTATGAAATGTGACAATCGATTTATTGTAATTATGTATTTTCCGGTTTATCATTTTACTATATCAGCTGTTCTTGTTATACACAGCCTCCTGGTAGTTACTTATTAGTAGCCTACATACAGCAGAGTACTTGTACAAAGGCTCACCGTGCAAAGCCATGTGTTTTTTTAACGATTGCATGAGCAATTAATTAACTATTTATATATTATTACTTAAAATATTTGAACCACATCGTTTTCTAGTAATCAGGTTAATAGAAACGATAAACTGTTATTACAGCGAAGAATTACATGGACTGTACCTGCGCATGTACAATGATCTTGCCGCTCAGCGCCGCAGCACTACATGTAATCCGAATTGGGAGGGCGGCGGCCCAGGCCGAACACGAGGCGAGCTAGAATACCCAGGACAACTTCCTCCACCCTCTGGTCAGCGAAACCTTCGGGCGATTCAACCACCCGGAAGCTACCCCGTCAACTATGCAGGAAACGGTAAGAAGATATACAAATAGCAAAAAAACCGGCAAGACATGTGCAACAAAATATTTACGCCAGCGCCAAAGTACAGCCCTGCCGGGCCAAGTTGGGGCAGTTTTTCTCAAAAATTCCCATGAGTTGTCCGTTGCCAGATAAAAACTTATCAAATCTTTACATCTGTTGCACTTAAGGTTTCCATGCTGAAAGCGTGCTGCGAATTACAGCGGGGTAAAAATTAAAGCGGACCAGCTGGAGAAACTGGTTCCACCCTTCCTACTTGTTAGGCACTGTCCGATTTAGAATTCGTTTATAAATTGGGTGTGTGTCGTAGTGTAAAATCAGTAACTTTAAGCTGTTCCCCTTTCAGTGCTCTTCCAAATTATGCAATATACCAGCTAGTTTCAACCATGCCTGCGTGACCTTAGCAGTCTGAATGGAGGCACCGGAGAACTGGAGGATGACACCTTATTTTGTGGGGTCCGCGAGCACCCTTTGAGAAAGATTGTTCTCCCAACTTATAATGGATACCTTTTGGGTCTCTCAATAGTTTATAAAAACTTTCACTAAAAAATATCTCCAGGTGACTTTTAAAGAAGCGAAATTATAAGCGTTCTAAAACAGATCACCACCCCACCCCCTAAATCACGGATCGGCTCGCTACAGGCTAATCCGTAAGTGCCGGTTTTAACAGCGCTGGATTCGCAATAAAAAGTTGAACTAATTATGTTAAAAGAAAAAAGCAACTCGATAAATACAAGTATTTTAGAATTTATTTTGTCCAACTGCCCCAACTTGGCCCGGCAGGGCTGTAGTTTATGAATGAATAAGACTTAAGTATTGTCGCGCGTACGTTTCTTGCTGTCAACAATTCTGATGCAGTGACATGCTGACCACTGGCTTGTATCTTGTACTGTATTCAGCGTACAAAATTTAGAACCCACGCATGCCGCATGCCGTCACCTCCCTTAGACCCAATAATTTTTAGAATATTGGAGGATCTTTCCTAAAAGACTAAAACGTTTATTGCATTTATTCTTTCAGGCCCCCGTTTTACCCATTCGACTCTTGAAAAACTAAAGGACGAAGCCATAAAACTCGTACTATTTGTTGGGATTTCCAAGCGACATACCACACCCCCATTAATCGATATCCTTTTTCTCATCACATCATGTCGACTTTTAATACACCTTTGTAAATTTAGCGGCTTGACATTACTGCAAGTAGTTATAAGGTATTAAGGACTGCGTGTACGAATACTTTTAACTGCTGTCAGTTTGTTCTCGTTATTGTACAAAATTAATTGCTTCAGTTCAGTACGGTGATTCAACGTTTGTTGCATTCTGCCTGCATGGACTTTCGGTGCGGAACCTGATGTTGCTCGTTATTTTGGTTCGCACGGAGAACCCCCGTTCCATCAGAGGTTCAGAATGACTTTCAGTTATGTATTTAACATTTGTGAGCCATACTGTACAGTGATGACTTTTCTGTGATCTGCATAATCTACAGGTTACTGAGGTTATTATCGACTTTGGCCCGTGTTCTGGTTTTACTCGTATGATGCTTGTCTAACACAACGTCCATACTGCTCTCTAATACTATATTACGATAAGTACTGTAGATACGCTGGTGTGCTCACATTGCTCAGACTCTGCACCCGTGAAAGAAGTTTATTCTGATCAGTGTATCATTTCTGTGAGATAAATCATCGTAAAGTTCCTTACGTATAAGTTCCTTTACTGCCACCACCGTAAGCCAGCAATGTATCACAGAAGTTTTAATGAATTTCGTCACTTAATTTGTCACCAACAGTTCGCCATTAATATTGTCACGTGCTGGTCTTCAAAAGCTAAACAACGACAACACAGGCACAAAAAAACCACAAGTCTTTAATCTCTTTTACATTTGCTGGCCTCGCAAGCGGGGTTTCGGGGAGGCGCTGGAGGCGGAACTGCGTGATACCGGGGTCACACTTCGCCCGTCCGACGGTGTTTCCATCGGCGAGCGGGACAGGGAAGATCGCGTCTGCGGCACTTGATACGGTGTGAAGCGGTTAGGTTTAGGGAACCCCACCGGCGGACCCAAATGATACGGATGCATTCCCGGAAGTCCCTGGGTGTAGAACATATTGGAGAAGAACGGGTTGCCACTGGCTGCCGCTTGATGGAAGAACGGATGGAGGCCGGCGAAATGCGGGATGTGCTCGAAACGCGGATCGACCGGAGGTCGGGGATAACCCGGTGGGTACAGGAAGGGTACGAGGGGACCCGTCGGGGAGAATGCGGGAAACTGCGGAAGACGGCCGCCCGTGGACGGTTCGGAAGGTGGTGAATCGTCCAGTTTGGATTTCGATCCGGACAACTTTTCGGGCGACTCGCGATTGGCGCTCGGGTCGTTCTCGTTATCGGAAATATCGGAACCGTCGTCGTCTGTTTGGGCTTTTGCTTTATGTGCAAGATTATTTGTGTTAGTCATTAATTGCGTAAGATGCAACATGAAAGACGGCAAAATTCATAATTAATTAACCCTTGCTCTACTTTTACAAACTGAGGTCATTTACATAGAGGTAATTTGTGAATGATGCAACAATACCTGGATGTATTTCCGTGCGTGAATGATTGTGTTGCGCGTCAGTGGTTGGTGCATCGACGGGTTTGTTATCCCTTAATTCACGGGTGTGCGATTTATGAGAACGATCTTTGTTTGGCATGTGAGCGGTAACGCTCGGTGCGGAATACTGATGCCGCTCATGGGAGTGGTTGGAGTGTCGGGAACGCTCAGGACTATTTGAGACGCGCCTAAAATAGTACCAATTAAATGTAATTGTAAACCGTGGCACTGAAACGTTCTTATGAACACTTTTTTAAGCGTTTAATAAGAGCGTATGTTAATTTTACAATATTCTACGTATGTTTGGCTGACACATGAAGGTCCTCACTTGCCCATAATTATAATTTTGTGTTCGACATTACTAATTCCAGCATTACTTGCATAATTCTTGCAACAGCAGTAGTTGAGAACAAACAGAACAACTGATATGCCTGATGCATTAACATTTAGCTTATGAGTAACTGGGCATGTTTAACAGATATCTGGAGTGATCGGCTAATACGATGCGCCGCGAAAAATCATGCGCTGGCAAAGAGAATTAATGCCGCTTCAAGTGGAGCGTAGCGCGTTCATTCCCGTCGCGGCTCCGCCCCGCTGCATTATCCGGCTTTGTGTCTAATGAGGATCAATTACGCTGGCTGTTTGCACACAACGCAGCAGCGCCGGCGCATCCATTCCGTTCGGCCGATCCCGGCAGAACAGAATAAAATGCGGAATTCGCGAGTGATGGACAAATTAGCGGCTGTCTTGTTTCGGGAACAGTTCAGCTGCTGCACTTCTGAGTGGGACGTCTATCGGATGTCGGTGTTGCGAGGGATTCTCCCTAATCGAAACTGCTGTCTCCGTCACACCTTCTCAATTAACGTTCCATTCTCCGCGTTCGACAACAGCTACTTAGTGCAGTAAAAGTACATTATGGCTGCGGAAACGTTACCGGCAAATTGGTGGGTTACGACACTTCGCTACATTTTCTTATAATTTCCTTAATTTCATAACAATTTTCACAGTCAGATTTAAATCAGATGCAAAAGCTTTGGCAAAAGTACGAGTACGAGTACATACAGAGTACATGGATTATCGTTAATTTGATCCTGATTTCTTAGTAAAATTATTTTATGAAAGTTTTCCGTAAAATACCCTGGTGTCCCCTTTTGAGCTTTCGTCACGTTAATTTTGGATATCAGATCGTCTTGGTATCCTACTTGTCTCGATTATCACAGCAAAAAATCTAGGCTGCTCTGATTCGCTCAGATTTCGTTAGCACCAGCACGTTTAGCGGTCTTAATTAGAGCCTTCAGTGACACAACCAGTAATTATCCTCGTTAGAGCTTAATTTACCAGTGACGAAAGTGAACGTGGCCAATTATCTCGCGCGTAATTCGAGCGCGTACTCACTTTTTCTCGCGCTTCCCGGCGCCGGTGTCGCGGAATCCCTTGGCGAAGGGGTTGTTGTCGATCTTCAGCTGCGTGATCTGCAACACAAGAAAGGTCACCGCTGATTGCTGCGCGTGTCGTGTCGTGCGTGCTGGGACGGGCAACACTTCGCGCTGCGTCGACCAGCGCTTGTTCGCCGCGGAGGCGTCCATTCTGCGCATGGGACGCCGCAGAATGGCAGCATCTGCTGCGAATGAATCAATTGCGGAATGTGCTGAATCGCGGCCGGCGTTCCGCCCGACTGCATCCCGCAACTTGTCGTTGTGGCTGTGCGCTCGTTAGTGTTGGCGGGACGCTGACTGTGTTTTCTGTGTGTTGGCCAGTGATGAATGGGTGTTGAATGCGGATGAGCGATGAAAAAGTGGCGCTGGCTGATGATACATGTTTTACGACGTGATCTGCGCTTGGCGAGCCCTTTGACAACAGCATCGGCCTTAATGACTTTCCGCACGCCATCGCGTCTCGAGCGCTCTTCGGCTGTGAACGCAGACGCTGACGCGGGACCATCGCTCTCGGCTCTGGTGCGAATCTTTCCCTTCCTACTCGCAATACTCACTCGCCTCAGAATTTAATGTTCCTCTGCCAACAGATTGACATTTGACGATAGTGACTAACTTATGTTTTTGCCCATTATAACCCGCCATCAAAATGCCCACTGATGCATGAACGGTGTCAGTTACAATTGGCAATCTCATTAATATTTTCAGCTGACGACAGGTATATTATCCGAAAGTGGGCTATAATAACACACTGTATGAATTATTCGATCGTAATCACAGTCGTCAGGTGAATTCTGGCACATATCGGCAAATTTTGAAACTTGTATCAATATCTGTACAATGTACTGTGTAAAAAGCATGGTGTATTTTGCAGCCAAACATTTTTCGATTTGATGATCACGAAATGTTTTGAAAGTGTAATTTCCTTTTCAACACCGTTAACCACACATGACCCACAATGGCGGTCATGCACTCAACCTGCCACTTTCGGATAATGAGAGGATGAAAGCGGGCATCTGCCGTATCAGATTCCCGCATCCGCTCGGTGCTTAACGGCGAACGCCATTACGACATCCGTCCGGGAGACAGAGACTACAATTAGGCAGCACTCACCTTCTCGTTTTGATACGCGGTCACTGCAACCGGAAATGCGTGTTACTATGATGACTATTTGGGGTAAGAAATAGATTTTCCCTAAGTTCAGGATGAGCTCACCGGCAATGAAGGCGGTTTCCGGGAAGACAAACGTCCGGTAGGCGTTATAAGCCAATCCCCGTAGATCACTAGCGCGTACCACGTGAACGCGGGGTAAATACTTGTGCATCGAATTTAAGATCGTCTGAAAATAAAATTAATCGTCACTCACCAATACCATAACAAGAAAATTAAGAGACGATTTCTTAATGTTCACAGATAGGTTTTTTTAAATGAGCACCCGATTTCATTTTTGTACGTTTAGGTGAATACGGGCGTAGTCTGTTGGGAATACATGTGAACGGTGTTGGAACAAGGTAGCTCGTTCTCAGCTTTGGCGGCGTGTTTACCCAGCACAAAGTGTCAAGTGGCTGTGCCGAGGTAAAAAAGGAAGCTTCAAGTGTTGCCTGTTGTCACAACATGTCGCACTCGCGCCGCTTCAAGGTGGCCGCGCTCAGCCACCGCCAGAATTACCGCTGTATCGTTCTGCTGCATGTGTGTGCGCGGACACTGTCATTAGGGAGGCGCTCGACAAGCCAACAACCGCCACGAAGCCGGTTAAATGAAATGGCGAGAACGCAACAAAAAACCGTCGTGGAAGACTGGTTGCTGACTTGCTGTGTGTGTGGCACTCGGCTGACTTGACCGCTCGAGTGGCGGGAAAGGCGGCAACCTGGACGGGCCAAACACCGGCGATCTGGTTTTTGTACAATGGAAGAAAACACATGTTTCGCTGTTAACCTCAAATTTAACGCTTTTAACAGGCTTTCAATTGGGCAATTAAAAAACGATTTGACCTCTTAAAAACAACAGCTCAGCACTAAACACTTTGTCAAGCAGGTTTCAAAAAAAGATCATTTTCTGGTTACTGGCCGCAGTAACACCAGGTAGAGATAATCAAATTAATTCATTTATTCTGGGCATAAAAGGATTAATTAAATTCTTTTTTCCACTTGGGAAAATTTTTGTAATTTCCGGGTGCCAGCGAGCTTTAACCGCTCCTGTTATTTCCCTTGCTGGTTTATTTAATGACAAATATTTGACAAACAGGGCATTTTAACGGCCTGTGTTACAAGCACTCGGATGACAAACAACTTCTCGCTCGCCTCATGCCCAGCTCAGCGCAAAAAATAACTTATACGCAAACAAATTAAACAGCTTTCAAAGACGCCTGCATTGAAACGGTAAAGTGCTGGAGTTTCCGTTAACACGGTCGCTTGTTGCAGCGGCCCACTTCACATTCAAGCCGAATCGCGCTCTCGTATTTGCGGATTAAGGAAAAACAGCTAGCGTAGTGAATTGGCGTCAATTTCTCACGCTCTCGGTGCGCTGATTACGGCCGCCTCGCTGACGAATTAGGCAGCACGAAAAAACAAGTGTCGGTTAACCAAACCAAAACCGGTTTTGCCTTTTGACGCTGTTCTGTCACCATCGCCTAAAAATAACCTGATGGCTTTTTAACGAGCTATCTGCTACAGCTAATTGGAGCAGCTGTAAGCCGGCAATGAAAAATCACAAGCCGGGAATAAATAGGAACCTACGGTGACGCCTGCGCTGTAATGTCAATAAAAGATTGATAGACATGGGTCGCCAACAATTGGCCGCAGGATCGATACAGCTGCGCCTCGGCGGACGCATCCATAACGTTTGTCACTGTTCGGTGTGTGTGCTGGATGGATGTTGCGTGGGGGACGCGTATCGATCAGTCCTTAACAGATATCTCGTGCGTCCAGGCGCCGAGTGTGATGGGAAGGCGTTTAGGGAAACGAGTGGCGAAGGGAGTTTGTGCTGGCCGAGAAAAGAGCCATCCATCACGGGAAGGGAAGAGCGGGAGCGGGCGATGGGAAGAGGAAGGAAATCTCCTTTGCACATCCGTCGTCCTCCTTCCACCGCGCATCACACACACACACACACGCCGATCGACGCGGCCGACGGCGGAGAGAAGAGCAACGACAGCGCGGGATGAAACAGCTTCACTTTATTCTCTCTCGCTCCACATTAACGCTAACGTCCGCGGCGCTAACACTAACGCAAACGGAAGGGAAACAAATCCCTCAACGGTGGCCTGCTGCGCCGCGGAGCGGAGCAGCGCAGCGCAATAGCGACCGGCTGCGCTGGATAAACAGATGAGCTTGATTTATCTGTCCAAAGAAGCGTTTCTGACAACTGAACCAGATGCCATTTGTGCTACACATTATACTCCGTGTTAACGCTTAGTAGTCGATCAACCTTCGCTTTATTTGTTACAAAATAAGAAATGGTTATTGTATCGTACTTTAAAATAAAATTCGTATGCGTATTTTTAAGCGGAAAAAGACTCAATTCTTAGTCAAAGAAATTAAATTGCTATGATAGTCAATTAATGTCTTATTAAAAAAGACCAGAAATAATTCTCTACATGCGGTTCATAAGAAAATGTTTTGGAAGTTGCATAGTACAGTTGACAGTACTGTAGGAGTAATAATTTAAGTTTAATAAGCGCTTAGCCAAGTTGCGCAATGGAGGCGGTGCCAGCCAGTTGACGCCTCTGACACGGTTGGAGTTTCACACGAAAGGCGTTAATTTGCTCGTCAACGCGCTGTGCTTATACACTTACATAGCCGTGCTTGTCGGAGATGTTATTGGTCAGTTTGAGTTTATGGAAGGAGACGATCTTCTGCATCCACTGCTCGCCGGTACTGGGTGAATCCGGATGAATGTACGTGTGTTTATGCATTTCCGGGTCGGCTTTTCCCGCCACCATCCACCGTGAATTGTGAAATTTATACCTAATGAAAAATATTTCCTTTGCCACCTTAATAGGTAAACGGTTATACAATTCGCTGAAAGCATAATTATTGTCTGACGTTGCTTTCCATTGCAAACTTTCCGCTAATCTGATTTTTATCAGCTAATAAATGTTGGCGTCAGAGCGAGTTATAATTGCCATAAATACTGTGCAATTTGGCAAGTCAAGCGCGATCTTTTTTTTCTGATAAAAATCTTGATGGAAACTGCTGACTTTTCCACGAACCGTACGTATGCATTACACCGTAATGCAAAAATTAATAATGCGGGACGTATAATTGTTCTACTTGTTTACCGGCAATCATCCGCAGGCATGACATCCATCAGAAGAAAGTATTTCGCTTTTTTATCCAATCCCGATATCTTGACTTTATATGCGGGGAAAATTCTCCTGCAAAAAAATCGAATAAATCAAACGTGTCAGTTTGTTAATCAAAATTATGTACCTCAAGTAAAACTACATTTAGTCGGTAATGCATTTACATTAACCTAAAGTTTAAAACGCTACTTTTTTCCGATTACCAGCTTGGTAAATTGGTAGATTGCTGCGATTAGTTTATTCTGATTTCGTTAATACTAAAGTTTTGCTCCTTCCTTATTATTAAAACACACGTTTTTTCATATCGTAAGGCACATGTTGTACTCGTACATCAGTCGCATGGAGTGCGCTTATACACACAGACGTTCGTAACGTTATTGATACGTTTTTCTATTGAAGTAGCCAAAATTGTTATTAGTTCGTCTATGAAACGAGCCGCACTTATCACAATGGATTTACATTTACATAATGATTTATTAGGCGGCGCACGCATTAGCAATTACTGCCAAAAATCAAGAAAATTTACCGATCACCGGATAACATTATTTTTATGATCGGCAGCGGTCATTCTGATTATACCTTGTAAAAAACGCATACTATTAAAACAAAGCGGCTGAACAGGTGTTTGTACAGCGCTAAGCGCACACTGTGCCGCAACGCCCGGTGGCAAATGTTGGCTCTGCGGCGCCGCAATTATCGTGACCAGCAGCTAGCTTCTGTGTATGTACGGCAAAAATCGCTGCCAATGCGCGACTAGGTTTATTTTCCGACTAGCTGCTAACAAATGAATTCTTGATTTATCTCACTTTTGCACCATTCATCATCCGTCGCAATTTAGCAACAGCCATTCAGTCCGGCCATTCTCCGTCTGACATTTTTTTGCCTTAATGCAAAACACGAAACCGACAGTAATTAAAGCATCATGATTAAGCGGACACGAAACAACGAAACTGGAGAAAAAAAACACTGTCATGACTTTCTATCGATCGAAATAATGGAGATAATTGTTCGCCTTTGCTTACAGCCCCGAATTACTATCGCCAACACGGCCGCAAAAGAGTGCGTGAAGGGCGTGTCATGACAGTTAATTGACAGGGTATATTGTTGTTGTTTTTCAACGGTAAAGAGTTCGTTCGAAAAATAGGAGTGAAAAATACCAGCCACCTGTGAAAAATACAGTATGCAGCTCAGCGTTGCACAATAATTATCCTTTCAATAAATTATCAACTGCTGTGAGCCGAGTGCAAAGCCAGCAATACAACTGACACCGAAAATGTGCGTAGCCGCAAGATGACAGCCATTAACTCGGCCTTACCGGTCAGCGCGCATTCTGCCAGCGTGAATACAACCTACATTAATTTCTTTCGCGGGCAAACAAATAAACGCTCATTACACCCACGCTTTGTATGAAAAAAAGGGCAATAATTATCGGGAAATTCCCGCCAGCATAAATATTTATGCTACAGTAAAAACGTTGAAAAATATTTTCTGCCGGCGACGACAATTAATTATGGATGATTATTCCGGGTTTTGCAATTTTAGCCAGTAATGATCAGGGAATCTGGCTAATGCAAACAGGTAGCGCGGAACGGGCGTCGTACTTGTAACGGAAGGCTGTGTAAAGGATATTATTCGATGCCGGCCGACAACACGACCGGACACACTCGGAAACTGTGTGTGCTGATTTGTTTACATTGTTGGAGACTCGCATTAATGGATTGCTTGTCATGTCTCTTTCTGTTCTCTCTGTATCTTGCCATGCTTGTTTAAACCTGCAGGCTAAAAGCCACTGCCACTGTGCTAACTTGAAAAGTCCATTTACTTTCGGCGCCTAGTTAATCAAACGTGATACTTTACCAGCTTTTCATGTACCAACATACGTAACTTTACCGCAGGTATCTAGTGTCTTTATATAGATATTAATCGCAGCACGCTAAACATTCTAAAATTGAGTCTCCTTTTAAGATTTTTTAACCAAAGTAAAGTAAAGATCACACCGTCACCGTAGACGTGCACTAGGTAGTATGTACAAATATAAAAATGAAATAACTATTTTGTTACGATGCAGTTTCGAGGTGATCATCAGGGGAAAGTTATGCAGCGAGCAGTACTTATGCCGCTTAAGTGCGGGAATAAAAGGGGAGATATGGAAATGAGGGGGACGCGCCGGCCGAACAATGGCTTCCATTGTCAGCCGGCATGTATCACGCACACGCTCTAATTCAATAACAAGCTCCGGAAAGTAATTAAAATATCAACAACTAATCCCGCATTATGCGCTCTCTGCGCCATCCATACAGATGCCCGGGCATTCCACGATCGATGAGCATGTCGAGTAGCAATGGATGCAACATCGCATAAGCCAGAATGATGATCTTTTAATGTTTATGCAGATGTTATTCACAAAATTACATGGCACCGAGAAGTTGTTTCTAAACTCACCATCAGAGAGAACAAAGTTAAAATGCTGTAGAAAAGCATACGGAAACAATATGCTGATACCTAACAAAATTATACCGTCGTAAATCAGGATTGTGCTAATTTCAACGGGAACTGCTTATGTTAATATCTGGTGGAGAAGACGTAAGCGTGATGAATGCGTGGAATAATGCGACACATTCGCACATATCGTATTATGCTAAGTAATGTTTCCATGTTGGTTTAGCGATATTTTGCCATTCCATCATCGGATTAGCGTCACGACAGCAGCAAACAACACCGCTGCAGCGACTACCTGAGCGGTTGCACCGCGTTATTAAACGCCGCAACTATGCAATCTGCCAACATCTTCGCTTTGCATTCTATCAATCGCGCACTGCTCAGATTAAACGCGGTCTAATCCGCCGCGCGACTGTTCAGTGTGGACTGCTTCTATAAAGCATAAACAGATTCCTCACTGCAAAACCAGCGTCTTCGCTTTCGACCACACAAAGATGCGGAGGATCACGTTTCCCGAATCAACAGTCGCCCATTCTTCGGCCGCACAATAACACACTCTGTTACACATTTTATCAGCGACAAAGCCGCCGCTGTTCCTGCACGCGTCCATTGTTTACGCCGCGGACACTCAATCGGGAAACAGAAACAAATGCAGCGCGGCTGCATTTTAAACTGTCTTGCATCGGAAGATGCAGAACTGCGCTGCTGTCGCGCTGGGTGGCATTGCGTTGCGTTGCATTGCGCTGATGAGCAGCCTGATCGATACACTATCGCTCATTCTATCGCTGCATTCATCAGTGAGTGACCTTTCGCAATCGAAGCGCGCTGATTAGATAGGCATCGCAATTTGCGGCCAAACATCATCATTCCGGACTAATATACTGCTGGAATGTCCGATGCCAATCCGATGCTACCCATCAATTCATTCAAACCGGAAAATAGTTGTTATGTAAGCAAGAAAGCGACCGGGCACAAGTTAAGTGGCCCAGTAAACCACGTATCAAATATCATCCCGAGAATAAAGCACGATATTAATTCAAGTTTAGAAGCAGAATTATAATAGCGTACGATTTAAGTAAAGTGCATTAATATGCCTTTTTAAGCCCTGATAATTTGAAAGCATGCCGCAACGCCGTTCATAGTTATTAATAATAATAGTCAATACAGTATGCTGTTCGAGTACGAAATCAAAAATTGCTAGTAACTAAATTAAAAGCGCCCGTTTTTACCGTGTAGACAGTATAAAAACCGTGATGACAAGGAGAGAGCGAGTAATAATAATGGGCAAATATTATGCAAAGCTGACCATCAATTTTGCTTACCTGCCGCTTTTGGTAATCACTGCCGATCCGAATATGTCAAAGAGAAAAGGCGCCGTTAGATCAAATCATGCGTGTAAGGCATCGCGGTTGCCGCGGTGTTCACATAACAAGTAGCACCGATGCATTCACATCGCGATAATATTAATCAAATCGGAGGAATTCTTCTTCGAATAAACACCGACACTGCAAACAAACCAGCGCTTACCCATTTCCGTGCCGAGATTGTGGAACTCCGTCCACAACTCAGTCTGGTCCAGCTCCACTTTCGGGTCGTCCTCCACGTCGTCCTGGCCCGGCTCCACCGTCCGCACCGGCCGCTGGTGCGCGCCGAAGTCCAGCGGCGCCCCTCCGCCCAAAAGGGAGGGGCCGGAGGGCGCCCCCGGGGGAAAGGGGGCGGGGAACTTGTTGAAGAAGGGGTTGGAGAAGGAGTGCATGGGGAACGGCGGCATGTGCGGGAAGAAGGGGTTGCCGCCCGGCAGCGAGTGCTGCGGATGGGCGGGGCTTCCCGATAAAATGGAGTTCATGGAGAAATCCGGGGGGCCGCGGTGGGCCGAGGAGGGGGGAAATAAAAACGGGGGATAGGCCATTATATACGCAGATTAGGCGGGAGTCAAGTGACCTTTGCCGCTAGCACAGCCGCATCGTCGGGCGAAGTGGGAGATGATTAAAATGCACCTTCTGACACGCTGACAAACGCTTAATGTGACGGCCGCTGGGATTTCAATTGGATTTCTTGCGCGGAATTGAAGACTTTGGCGCGTCAAGCTTCTCACTCGCTGTTTGCCAATTTTTTCGCCTTAGAAACATCATACAATCAGCAACGTACGCATCAGTACAGCCGACCGACTGCGTGAACTGTTACAGTGGCGTTTAAGCTGGTTTTGTCTGTCGGCGTGAGCATTGTGTGCTGCGCGTTGTACGAGCGCCATTAATACGTGCGGCGGTGCGCAGTTGTATCCGGCGCACACAGTGGCCAGCGAAAGATGTGAATGAGGAGAGCGCGCGTGAGAGGAAGGCGTGAAACGGGGCGGCGCTGCGACGCTTTGTAGCAGCCAACAAGCAAAGCGATCGACACGTACGGCAGCCGATGTGCAATTTGTGCGCATGTGCATTTCGTTCACTACAGAGACTTCACGAAAAGCGCTGTGATGAGCTCTTTTCCTGCATTTCAAGCATGTTCACTTCGTCCAGCGCTCCAACAGCAGCGAGTTTTAAAACCAGGCCCTACGAGTAGAAAATTTTTGCAATTTTTATTCACATCATTTTGCATTTATATAATAATTTTTTTTTAAAGAAACAGCTTGTGATAAATTTTGTGATAAACAGTAGACCCATCCTAATAATTAAGTACTATTTTGATTTCCGATTTATGAAATATTAGCAGAAAGCCAGAAACCCCGGAAAAATATTTTTATTTCAGGCAGCACGAATTAATAATCGTAGAATTTACTTTGCTGATGATAAGCAGAAATTATGGGTAACGATGATTCACAAGATCGGATGTAGTGACAGTGCAAGCGCAATTGCGTTGGTGCTATAAATTTGCGCGTACTACGTGGGAAAATGTGGTGCTGCGCAGCATCTGCGTGGAGTAATATGACAGCGCGGACAGGCGACATCATCGAGGAAGACGAGCTGAATTAGGAGTAACATAAGAATAAAAGAGTGATAACAAGTGTAAACCAATCCTGAAGAGCGAGTTGTTTAAATTCTGTCAGAATGGGGCAGCATTGTGTGGCGAGTGAATAACGTGCATAATGCCGGCGGAATTAGGCAGACTGCGCCGATTGTGCATGCGAATATGTGTATCTGTGTGCTTTTAATGGACAGACACAAAAGCCGATAACAAAACCAAGCGACTGATCTGTCTGTCTTTGCAGCAATTGTCAGCCAACACACTGACTTTAATCCTGTCGGCAAACGCTGGCTAATCTCTCACTATCGCATCCACATCCAAATCCCGCAGCAAATTATACAAAGCCGGCCTACTTCCGGTCGCATCCATTTCCAAACAGATTACATTCTTGTTCTAACGAATTAAATGTATGAATTTTAAGGACGATTCTATTAAACCGTTCCGTTTCGTAAATTCTGGTGAGGTTAATTATATGCGAAAAAAATACTCTAGGTTAATAGTTTTCTGAAACGCACGTATTAGAGAGCTTTTTGCCTGAAACGCGCATAAAGCTTTCTCGATAATGAGCATCATCACATCCTTTTGAAAATCAGTTGGCGTGAAGGAGTGGACGACTTTCAGTTACAACAGTAGCCGGTATTGTTTTTCCGTCAGAACCCATTGAAGATGCAACAGCTGTAATGAGTGCTAATAAATTCCCTCACCCTCCTGTTTCAACTTGAGACTTGTTGGGTGGTTCTGTGCAATGTGCTTATTAGCTGTCATAATTTCAAAGTCGAACACATGTTAGTCGGAGGAAAAATCTTGAGACACTATTGAGAAATGCAAAATATGCCGGTGGATAATCAATGCTAATTTGTAGTCAGTCGCCGGTGGAGCGGTGCAGCGTATCGTTGCGGTCGGCGAGTGTCAGCGATCCTTCTCGTAGGTGGCACACGCACTTAATAATCGCTGAATTATTCCATCGGCCATCAGACCCAGCCTGCTTGCAAATGTGCAGTGTCCAGAACCGCACCGGCAACTTTTGCTGTTTGTCGAGCAATGAATGACTGCCGGTCAACATGCGAATGTTTTATAGACATTGGTCTAACGCTTTCTGGCCGTAAATTCAATTTATTAAAGACTAATATTCAATTCAACTGGCAATATTATTAATATACATACAGCCATATATATATAAATAAAAAAATTCAATAACATAGCCATACGTTTAAAGCTACTCGTAACAAAAATGTTATGATCTGATATACTTTCATTTAAGGCAGATTTAGGAGCACTAGTAATATTAGGAGTTATCGGTACACATTTTTCTAGCGAGTTGGAAAGTCATCCTCAAAACTTTCTTGAGGCCAAACGGTACGTGCTTTGTCCATGTAGGCCATAATTATTTTGCTCATCACGGATTCAGTAGCGTAGTGGGCAGATTGAAGAGGTGTCAGCGACGAAGAAGCCCGCCGCGACAATCTGGAATGAGAGTGCGACTAATGTGTGTTCGAGTAAGTAGCCGCGGCGCCACTTCCGACGTATACCTGGCTACTGTTGGGCATAAACTGAAATTTCATTCTGTGTCTTCAGAAATGCTTTATTATTGACTTTTTCATTAATCGTATGGTTACGAAAAAAATGCGCAAAAATTAATCTAATAAGTTTAGAATTACAGCAAGAGTCTCAAAGTAAAAGCGATAACAAAATGCATTTTTTACTCGATTTGTCTGAGATCAGAAAATCAGAAGAATTGAAAAAAAAAACGCAAATAAGATAAACCAAATACTTTTCCGCCGATAAAATTGTAGCAGACGTCTATAATTTTTTGCTTTCTGGAGACAAAGACGAATTACGTAACTGGCACCGGCGTATGTTTGCTGGCAGTCCTTTCTCAGCCGAGTGCAAGAATAATCTTGTTAAACTAATGAGTGTTTTCCTAAGCGAAGCCGTATTAAAGGATGCACCATGGTCCGCAGTGTGTGTGTCTCCCATCGTCGTCAGCGCCGGAATTAGTGTGGACGACTGAGCAGCGCCAACGTGCCGGGGGACGCATTGCGAAATTACAGCGGCATCGCGGATTAAGGTGAGCCATAATTCCGGCGTATTATACTAATAGCACGGGGCAGCTTAATCGCTCCGTCTCTGTCTCGCTTTCCTCTCTTCCAGCCTTTCTCACCCGCGAAGCCGTAGGATACACCGAGGATCAGTAGCCGCGACGCCTGTCATTCCGCAGTTAACTATCCAGTTCATTAGGCTTTTGTCTGCATTATTCCCTATTCAGATATAACTGCCGATCGGGCGTAGCTTATTAGCTTCATAATAAAGACAGTCGGTTATCTTGCATTCGAAGCAAAAATCCATAGGTACCCAAACAATCACCCGAGATTTCACTGAAATAAGTACATCGTTAACTGTATGAAAAATTTTTATTTTCAAAAATGCATTTATTTATTTTTAAAAATACTAGTTATCTATTATTTTTGCTTACCAATGGTTTTCTGCTGCATTTTCTAAATAGAAATTAAAGATTTGTCTTGAATCAAGAGTGTTGCAATTGTGGCTTTGATCAAACCACAAAAGCCGGCTCTCAAGTTTGACATATTATATAAAATAGAACCACAGTGTGATACACTTAATCTCGACAGATTTTCAAGAATGTTCCTATTTTAAAACGAGCCGCCAACCACTGTGCAACAAGCAGTGCGAGCATTTCTCACGCCATATATGCCGCAAGAATCAGCCGACATTGCGCAGCGCAAATCCAACTTGTGCGTGCCGACTAGATGCCTCCCTCGGTGCACTATCCCCGCGATTATAGTATATCGCGCCTGAGCAGCGGATTTCGCCCCCGTTTTCCAAGCAACTGCACCGTTTTGGAAAACGTATCCGTGTGGAATTATAATTTTAATCCAATGCGATTTTCCACTGCAATAATTTTGAAAACACCGTTTCAAAAGATACCGCGCATAAATACTTTAAACTATACAGAGGAGATTTTTCGATACATATTTCTCGGCGCCTGTGGGCTGTGATGTACTGCGATTGCGGTTATTAAAGGCGTTTTGACATGAGCGTTGCTCCTTGTGTGCGTAATGAATATTCATGACCTTATCTCACTCCCGCGCTTCCTCTGTCACAGACCAACAACGCATTGTAATCTCTGTAATTTTTGTGAATAATTGCCGCGTAAGTGCCCATCGAAATCGGCCTGGACAATTAGTGTGATTGCGTGGAAAGCGACAGCGCAGGAGTCAAGTGCGGGGAGTGGCGGTGGTGATGCAATAAGCCGCAATTGTCATGATAATTCGCTCCTTATGCGCAACACGCATTTAATTCACTGACAGTCGTGTTACATGGTGTTTGCCTGTTTGAATAAATGCACGCGGATGCTCTGGTCTTCCGCGTGTCCCAAAAGGGAAACAAAATCAACCGAGCAAAGCAAAGAACTATTAGTTTGTTGTCAGCAATGATTCAATACGTCTCACCGTTTCACCAAAAAGAAAAAAGAAATCCCGGAAACTAAAAACGGGTCGACGGAAGCGTGATATAGATGAGAAACAGTTTCAGAAATTCGAATTAATCCGACTACTGCAAAAATCCTTGGTAAACAAAGCCAACAAATTTTTCATACAATTTTACTTACAGAACGAGAAAGGAATCTTACTGTAAAGGTAGTTATTTTATTCGATGAAAATGTAGTATGTGCGGCACCACTGGGCTTTAAAGTGCAAGCCTCGCTTGGTGAAATGCGGTGTGTTTAAGTAAAGAAAAGCAGATCACTTTGGCAGTCTAAATATTTATGGTCGCAGATGTTTACTTAAAGCGAAGATACAAAGCTGAAGATGGATGTCAACTCATAAACAAGTCGCTACTTGGCATAATTAATGCAACCAATGCTTTAACAGCGACAATATGCAACAGCAAATTCAAGGCGCAACTTAAACGGTTTTGATACGGCTGCACAAACGACCCCCCCCCCCTCGAGCAGCGGCCAAGTGTGTCGAGTGTTGCATGAGTTGTGAGTGTTGTGTTGTCGCTGCTGTTATCCGGGAAATGAACAACGGAATCCAGTTTATTTCACACAGCAGCCTTGAAAGTTGAATCGCGCGCGACAGAGGAACACTGTCGCCACGATAATCGCTACTTGGCGCTGTAAAACAGACGAAATCGTACTCCAAACCACAATTGAGCGGTCCGTCCACTTCGCCTCCCAATCAAGCGCCGGCTACCTGAATGTATCTTCTCTCTTTAACAATCAACGCTTAAATTCAAAATTCAACACACTGCAATGAAA